AAAGTATCAGGAATGTTAGAGGCTGTGACTGTGCTCTGATGTGTTTACTTCCTCAGCTTGGTCGAGTTAGTGAAAGTGGTTTTGTTGGTGTTGTTAGAGCTGCGGCGTGCGCCGACGGCGTTACGAATTTTCTTGCTATTTATTAGTTTCCAGAGTGCATCCTGTGTGGCGCTGATGTTGATCATGCTGTCTATGCTTGCGCAATCTGTAGCAACAGTAGGCTGAGAACCTGAGCGGCCTATATTTAGATCTGTTGGTAGTATCGGAACTAATACTAATTCTGTCGGGGTAGTATTATTTGTGATTTTATTAGATCTCTGATGAGTGATATTGCTACTGAAGATCGGTTGTGGGCAGTCAACCGCAGTCGCGGAGTCATCTAGGTCAGCTGCGCAGAAAACATTCGTGTGGATATCCTCATCACATGCAGTTCGTAAGTCAGTTTGCGAGGGGTCAGGTGCGTTACTCTGTTTCTTTGAAACAGGCGTATGTATCCGCTCAAGTGGTGTCTTATCTGACCTTATAACAATATTCTTAAGTTCGGTTGTCGCTTTTATAACTGACATATTCCGTATTAACAATTTGGCACTCTCCGTTTTTGAATTTCAGTAGCACTGGGCACGTATGCTTTAAGCTCTTCTTCTTTAGACCTACCGCAAGGCACTCTTCATTTTGAAACCCGATGGTGTCTGGTAGCAAGTGTTTCAGCTTCTTCAGATGTAGTCTATCTGGGACATTAAACACTATAACATTACTTACACGGATAATCCGTTCAGACAGTTCAGTGGAATTCACGGAAATAAAGCTACCAGCGATGTGTAGGTGGTCGGATGATGGATTAGGAAGTAGGTTAGTTAAGCGGAAAAGTGTATCCATACTAGGAACCGGAGGATTGATAGCAACCAACCTTTCTCGCAAATCTCTCACAGCTCTTCCAAGTTCATTTATTCTGTCCTGCAATCCAGAGCATTCAATGTTGTCCCGTCTACTGCAGGGAGTGGGATTATTAGCGCTTATTGTGACCGCTGTGGTATTGGTCAACGCAGTAGCTTGGCTGGTGGCACTTTTCTTTCTCATGGAACGCGTGTTTACGGCTGTCATAATAGTGGTTTTCTCACGCAAGATATGCAAGCGTTTGAGGAACAAAAATGTCAGATGAACGAGGGTAAAATAGAATAGTACTACAGGCACGACGGTCACTTGTAATGCCTAATTTAACTTGGCTCTAACCGCTAATCTTGCAATCAGAAGCTGGGTGAGGTGGAACAAAATAGGAAGCAGTTAGCGGCCTAGTCTGTTTGTCCAGCTAAGGATTAAAGGGGACAGGTGGACAAAACCTACTGCCACCAGTTTCACGTCAAGGTCGTTTGCTGGGGTGAGGAAATGCGATCAAACCGACCTGCTCTGACTTGACAAAGCCGCAGTGCACGTTGGTTCCAGTTCACACGTCAGTCGAAACGCACACGATCAGATGACCGCCGGTGCTAGTTGATTGGCCCGAGTGCGTCGGGCGATGCAGTAGACTGGAAGGCTATCGATCGCGCGCTGGTAGTGGTAGTACGCAATGCTATACTGGTGGAATTCTGGCGGACTGCAGGGTCGACGACGCCAGCAGTGATAGATGAGGAGAATTCGCTTGCACCTGTCCTATACAGCTAGGGAATAGAGCAGTTGTGCAGTTGTCAGACAGCACTTAAAGTGGGCTTCCAGAAAAGGTTGGAATTTGCGGTGTAGAATGCAAGGTCAACGAAGCTGTGGGCTTGAGTTAGGAGTGAGGAAACGCAAAATTAGAAAACGTAGGGAAGTTGGTATTCCGTGAGGTGTAGATTCGAGGTAGCAGCGTTAGAAGGAGCTCGCCATGCCTGCTCAAATGAGGGTATGCAGGCTGGATTGTGAGAAAATTTGGAGGCATGGCAGAGGAATTTGATAGAGCGATAAGTAGTCCCGCTGGCACACCGATCTAGAGACAGCCATACCGGCGGCGTACTCCGCTTAACAGAACTTCTACCCCAAAAAGTGTACGAAGCAAGGGTGAGGAGTTTGGCAACCCTGACTCAGCTAAAAAGGCCAGGGGCCACTAGTTCGAACCCGCGTAGGTGTCGGTGACCTAGCGTTATACACAGGCCACGAGCAACCGGTGGTTGTTACGTGACAGCGAAGCGTAGATACGATGTAGTGACACCTCTGATGCCTTCCTTATTCCGATGCAGAGGAATTTCCAAGGCAAGCCCTTCAGAGTGAAATATACACACAAACGGATAGCTCAGCTGAAGCAGCAGTTATTCACAGGTCAAGGAAAACTGCAATATGCTGCTTCTAAATAGGGTATTACCTAACCACCTGTCGAAGAGTAAAATGTAGCACCTCGGTAACACGATTTGCCACCAGTATGGGCACAATATAGAAGGGAAATGTCATAACTAAGCTCACATGAATCCTTTTGGCCCTACATGAAAACGAAAATAAGGTTGTCAACCGCCAGTTCCTGCACCAAACAGTGTCAAGTAGAGTGGAAAAGGCAGGGGCGCACGGACGATTGCGCCCTAGGTGCTGCGACTGCCTGCACCTTACCAGGTGCCGCGGCGTTTTGGATCATGTCAGTCATGCTTCAGGTTCAGCAGAGTTTGACACTCTTCAGCCGGGTTCAGGAGTGTGACAGTGCTATTCTGATGTAGCTTGGATAGGAGGCGCGACCGGATATCGGCATCGTGTGCAGAATGGAGACCAGAGACGAAGATCACGCAGTGAAACTGGTCCTCTATGAGCGAACCAAGTTGAAAACGCTTGCATTCACGGTTGACCATGCCCGTGTAAGTGATGTAGTCGTCGGCATCACGCTTGCCCAGCTGTAGGCATTGATAACGGGCATTGAACAGAGAGGACTGCTCACTAAAAATCGGACAAGGTTCGGACCTCTCGGTGAATGTGACGTTTCGTGGGTTCTTCAGTAAGATGAAATTGGCATAGCGTTGGTGTTGGAGCGTACCCAATTTGCGCAGAAGCAGTCGGACCTTGCAAGCGGCATCCTGGCGAGTCAGCTCAAAGATGAGTAGGTCCTCGTACGGCTTATATCAAGAATCGAAGGTTATTTCAGCCTTGGCGTCGTACAGGAATTCACTGATGCCGCTAACGACATGGTCCACTGATTGAGAACTGTCAAACGGACATGCGTGAAGGGAAGAACCGGGAAATTTGTCCGTCAGCACGGACATCAATTTGAGTTGCTACTGCGGTATAAGTTTCAAGTTGGCGTACTCGTCCGTCATGGTTCGAAAGCTGCCATCGCCAGTGTAACAGATTTGCGCAGATCTGGTCGCGTTAACTTAGACGAAAATTACGTGTAACCTGGGCACGGCCCCTATTCACGCGCGTATTTGGGTGATAGACGGAGTTTACGAGATCAGAAAAGGATACCTTAACGACCGGGGGAATAGACGCGCAAGACACGGCACAGCAGCGCAGACAAGCACATGACCACACGGTTCCCAACCACCCGCAAGAGTAGACAATGGAAGACGAAGCGGACCTCTGAGAGTTCTTTTACGACTGACAAAGGCCGAAGCACAGTTGGCACAATGCTTCATATTGTGGGTGAAATGAACCACTACGCAGGGCTGGTGGTTTACGAAAGGACATTGTTCACATTAGACCAGTTGTGCCTCGACTCCGAGTGGCTGGATCCTGCTACGTTGTGGGCAATAATTGAACTCTGCCTCTCGCAGCCCACGTGCTGCATTGTGTGGCGCATTTTTGCAGAGTTATTTGGGGTGCCGGCAACACCTACTACCGTACTTCGGCGACAATAGTGGAAAGTCGCCAGGGTCACGCTTATTGTTCTGATTTGGCGGCACAAATATAAGGTTCATCCAGTCAATGCTAAAAATCGTTATGTAAACGTCCCAGATGGCCAATCCAACAATTCTGAAATATCGCGCCGGCTGGATTGCTCCTTAAAGCGAACAGCCCAGATTTCTAGTCAGTGTAAATCGGAGAGATCACTTGGTTTATTTTTTAACTATTGATTTGAACCAGTGCATCGAATGTGTAAGAACAAAACGGATATCCACAATAGCATTGCCATTCTCTATTTCGCGAGCCGTCACCAGCCACTGTTGATCCTCAGATAAAGGCACTTCGTAAATGACATCCTGACGGAGCCGTTCTTCGTGCTTCTACCGGACCGATCCTACGTGCAGAAATCCAACCACTATAAGGACGCCTTAAGCTGAGAGAGGAGACGACATTCATTGTTTTTGCATAGCCCATTAAAAGCGATTTCTGTTCGTATCCTGTTGAACAATAGTAAGTAGTATTGCATTAAAAAACCACGTAGACAACGAACAACGTAGCAAGGTATAGAACAGGTTCTAAGATGAATAAATAAATAATTTATTCTCGAATACTTCGTGGCACACCAAATCGGGTATGATCAAGATTGGATATATCCTCATCTAACCGCTTTATGTTGTCCACGTGACCCATTTAACATCGTTGCTTATTCACTGGTACTGCGTCTTAATGTTTCGCACAGTCGGTTGACTACACCATGATGCAGCGGATATTGCATCATGGTGATTACCCCATGTTGAGGTCATTTGCGCACACACCAGACAGTATACAAGGACGCCGGAGTAGTATCGGATTTGAAGCGGGTCGCGCACCAACTCTGCTTCGAACGGTGAGTAGTGTGTGCATGGAACAGTCCAACATCGTACATAGTCGAAGCAAAATCGGTGTCGAAATTCAAGAAATTTCTGGATAAACACAACCGACATGAAATATCGCGAAATCTCTCCAGCAGAACAGGCCATCGTTCCCGAAAGAGTTCCAGATGCAGCTAAACAGAGACATCTTTCAGCTTCCATTCAGTAATAGGTACTCAGCATTCACATGATGTTTGAATCTGTCTTCTCATGAAATCACCCATGAGTCGTGATTGTGAAAACATGGCTCGAAATATAACCGTCTATTTAAAAGGCGAAAGGCACAAAAAAGAGATTTCAAGTTACAGAAGTCCTCTCACGTAGGAAATATCGACCTTTTCCCATTTGAACCTGTTGATGATAAGATGATAGGTGAACAGATGATGACTTGAAATTCACCTTTGATGCGGAGTCTGAGGCTCTTCGTTTAGCTGATTTACGTGTCTTAGGAGTCTGAAGACAACTGTCTGTTTCCAGGTAACTGTCACTCATGTCCTGGAGTTCGTTTGAGTGCCTTCGCTTTCTAGTTGCAAAACGACACGTTTGTGAAACTGGCGGTGAACCTCTTCTTAACAGAGGCGTTCCGGTTAATGGTGCCAAGGAGTTCTCTGTAGTAGTCATCACCGTCAAGTCTGTCGGCATAAAAAGAAAATTATACTCGGCACCATTATGAATACCATGATCGGAATCCCTACTGCTTGATCGCGGAGACTCAACCGTCTTATGCTGGACTTCGTTACATGGTGCGGAGTTAAGGTCAACGACATTAATGGACAACATACCAATATTTGCTGCTGGGATTAAATCTTGCGAGCCATCAGATTGGCGGAAGCTACCATGAGCATTCTGTGAATTGTAGTTCATATTGGCATGAAGTGAATTCAGTAATTTCAAGTTATCTGGCACAATTTCTAACGGTTCGATAATATGTCCATTCTCAGAGCACGACTGGCCTGACTGATCAGAGTGAAATTTGATCACATCTTCAGGCTGAACGACAGAATTTGTCCCATCTGTAGTTATTCTGTTGAGAAGTTTTGGGTTCATTGAAGACTGATTAAATTCGGATTTTTTCGCATTCGCTAAAAATAATGTTTGTTTGATGAGAACATACGAGAAAGAGAGGCCACTGGTGAATATTCTGATTTCGTGCTAAACTTGATCGAATAATCCAACTGATCAGGGAACCCATTGAAGCTTCTCTCAACAAGACGCCGCTTTTTGGGGCGTGGTTTCAGTGAAACATCCGCTCCAATAATACTATCATGGTGAGGAGCGAGAAAAGATGCCAACTCCACCAAGTCGAAGGCTTCGAAAAAGTTGGTGATGGATTCCTCTGAAGATTCACCCAGCTTTTGGAAAATCCCCTGTTGACCCATCCACTTCAGAAAAGTCTCTGTATTGATGTATGTTTGGATAATCGCCTTTGGGGTGAAACAGGAAAAAATCTATATACCTTGATGGTGGGCTTGACAATGTGTGGTGCTTCTTTGTCTAACCATTTGTGGAACATGAACAACCTGACTGCATTCATGGCTTCGCTAAAGGAGGCGGGGGGAAGTGAAAAAATTCGCCTGCAAAAAAGAATATCATCATAAATTGTCATACGATACAACTGCGACGAGAAATTCCCTCTGCACGTTTTCCGTGTTCATCTGAAGCACCACGTCGATCAGATATACTGGAGTCTCAATCAGATTTAACTCACACCAAATAGCATCCTTAGCGCAAAGCTCGGAACTGCAATAGGCAAGACGGATATATAAGGACTATACGAACCTCACCAATCCCAAGCTTTCGCATCCAGGTAAGCAGCAAGTAGCGACGCCCATACGGCAGGTTCGTGTGAATCATTGCCCTAACCATTACAAGACTGGTCGATTTACTTACCGAAATCTGATTTGTCCGTGACAAATAACAATGGGGGAAAACTTTTTCTAAACTGCTTCTTATAAATCTGAAACAGTAATATTACGCGGGGTAATGTGGAACGTTACCTGGCATTTTCCTGTTTCAATCCGAAATGCATCCATCTAAACAGGGAAGGAAAATGTTGAGAATCGGATGGTAATTCTTGAAATCATTTAATGATGTGTGGTTGAGCAACCGAAACATAAAAGCACTGCAGAACACTAACATGTTTCTCAGCTATTTTTAGTGAGCAATCGATACCTTCATTTGAAGCAGAATTTATTAGAAAGAAGGGCAGAACGAATTAATGTGCTATCCCAGAAGTGCGCCACCTGTTTACCAGTGAATAGTTTGCGGGTTGAGCACTTTAATACTAACAGCAAGTGTGGTGATCGTGAAGCCGGAACATCGAAAGTGGAAGAATCATCTGACCACGGCAAAACAATTTCCTAGCCTGTGTATGGCGCTGTCCACGACAGTGGAACAGCCATCGAAAATGAGTCCATCACCAATGCGTTCGGTGGGTTTCGCAAGTCCGTTGATCAATCACAGTGCAGAGAATAAAATAATTTGCAGGCAGGGCGAATTCCGACCGTAGATTATGCTCGACTGACGTGACCACATAGATTGTGATAGAAGCTGGCAAGTCAGGCGAACGAGACTGAAGTGCGGTAGGTGTACAACAAAGCCAATTAGCACTATGTTTAACGGGCCGAGCGAACATGCAGGAAATGGAGTGCAGCGTTGTTAGCTAAGCGCGAACTTGGTTCCGGTCAGAGACAAACGAGTTGGCCGCACGTGACACTGATTCGGAGCGGATGGCGCATCGCGCAATGACAGCTGATAGGCCGAGCGAGCGAAATGGACAGAGCTAGCAGATAAGGAGCCAATCAACGCCGTGGACACAAGCTGCTCACATTTGCGAAGACTAAACGACCGACTAGAATGGGGCTGGAGTATTGTGAGCAAAGTGCAACGTCGCCCTCGTCAAGAGAGTTGTGGTGCAAACAGCTGCGAACGAACGCGCAGCACCAGCCAATTAACTCATACTTATGGCCAACAAGAAGTAACCATTTAAAGTGCGTTATGTACAGTGTAAAATGGTACTGTTCTGTAATTCGAGAAATGGATCGCTGCCCAGTCTGTTTTGATTTTCAAAAGGCTACTTCGACAAAGGTGACTTGATCACAGTTGCTGAATTGATGCGACTCGAATACCGAAGCTGGGTGTCCAACGGGGAGCAAAGGTAATGAGATCCATGTAGTCAAGACGCGAGGTAAGGATGGGATCCAGTTGTAGCATTAGGTGCTAATTGATCACACTAGTATCGTGATCACATCAAGATCGCTGTCGTCACGTAGTGTGCATGAGAAACGACACATGATAAACAAGCGTCATGCCACCAGATGAAGCTGTATAGACCCAGCCTGAGGTGTTGTCACGAAAACAGTGCGGTAAAGAGCAGGTGTCAGCACAGCACAGGCACCGCTTCCACCTTAATTTGCTAAGCCGCTTTGAAACTGCGGCGAACGGAGCACCATCGTCGCAGATGGCCTATACTCGTACCAGTGAGTATGTGCTGAAACGGGTGTCACCAACAATGTGGTCATAATTTTGGTACTCATTCCAAAACGAAATTTCATGTATCGATGACAGTGCTTACAAACTGTGTTTCTATCCGGTACCGCCGTTTCGACTGTCAGCTCAAACAAATGCCTGAGGGACACCGTGTGCCCAATCTCAGTAGCAGTGCTAGATTCAGAGGTTCTATAATGGAACGGCTTACGACGGATCAGCCAATACACACACTGTAAAGCGTGACACGCATGTTTCCACTAGTTTTGCACTAATGCTGTACATGTGGTCCAAGATCATCGTGTTTGACCCAGCAGCGGTTACGTAGTAGCGCTGCTACCACCTGATGTACTATCACATCTACAAAAATGAGATCAACCTAAAGTACATCTATCATATGTACAATTGCCGGATGTATCGGCTTGCCGAACAACCTCCTCGTGGTGCCAGCTGGGTGGTTCGGGATTACCCCGTTCCAGCGAATGGTTCGGCGGCAGTGTTCCAGGACGTGGTGGGTTTTCCACTAGCAAGCCTTCTCCCTATAAAAAGCCACAAATGTCCGTTTATCAACACTGTGACGTGGCGAATGTGACTTGCCACTAAATAAAAGCACAGCTCCTTGCGTGTTTCTGAGTGGCATTGTGATTCAAGGGTGCGTTGGGTCCCTTGTCCTATGCGGTCCTACAGGCGTATGAACCACTTGTTTGGCTCCCAACGCGTTGCGATACTCTCATACCGTCCTGGTGCCTTGTACGTTAGATCCTGGATCAAAGGCTCGGGGTGGGGCCCCCTAAAATAACGCTCTACTTAGGTCTGGGCAACCGGGTAGTATCTTGCCCACTGACGAACCATAGATGGATCATCCCCTTCGCACCCCAAATAAAAAAACGCAAAAAATTCTGTGTTTTCTTCATTTAATGTAGCCCTGTTTTCCTATTACGCCATGGTTTCGATGGCACGATATCTGTAGAGATTGTGGGCAATATATATATATATATACATATATATAGGTACGCTGCATTCGATTTACTAACCGCGTGCTTGCATGCTAAGTCTCTTTATTTCAGGTGGTGGGTTTTCAATTTTGCCTTAATGCTTTTCTTTCTCATATAAATGTCTACCCATACTCTATTCCATTAACTTGCACACATCGCTTCAGCCAATTGTATTCGATTTTCATAACATTTTTGTGTTCGAGGCATTTCCGTAAAGTATACATTCTGACCTCGTGAACTTACCTAGGAATCGTTTGCAAACAACTTATTTCATATGCTCATTAACATAAATTTATGTCACCGTTTCCTTATGCAATAAGCGAGTTATTTTCTTTGTCTTTCTCTCTCTCTCTCTCTCTCAAGTGATTGGCTGTTGTTTGATATCCCAGGTGTGGCTGCGCTTGTTGTGCATGTTGACAAGATGCCTACCTGTCTATTACCCACTACCTCGTCCATCTGGCTCCAGGAGACAGTTGGTCGTTGCTGGAGGGGACGGGGTGCACGGTCCTTGTGGCCGTATTAGGCTCGAAGAGTGGTTCCATACACTCAGTGTGGAGCGGACTACGGTCCAGCCACCGCCTTGTGTGCGCTTGATTCCCAAAAATAGCGTGCTTGTGTTTGCCTGTGAAGGAGTATGGGTCGGCTCCGTTGATGAAACGTGGCTCTCATCCACATGCATCCCGGTCTTAATCCTTCGGGTTTACACTGGATATGGGGTATGTGATTGGAGCTGTGGGTGGTGCAGCGCAAGTCACCCATAGTCCATCTGTAGGCGCAGGCGTCCAGGGGCTTGCCATAGTGACAGGCAAATCCGAAACCGGATGCCGCCAACCATATATATATATATATATATATATATATATATATATATATATATATATATATATATATATATATATATATATATATATATCGGGTATATTTGTTGCCCACATATCTAACCACAGCTTGAAAGACCACATCTGAATGTACGTTTTTGGGGGAGCTGGACCAAACAACCTGAAACGCAGTGGGATTAGACGTTTTCCCGGCATCATTTTAAACGTCAACCCTGTGGAAGCTCGGCTGCAACTGTCCTGGGTTTTGCAAAAGTAAGCAGCTTTGTTTGATCAAACGAGACCAAAGTTACGGAGAAATTACTCGACCCAGTTGATACTGAACTCACACGCAGCACCAAGACAAGGTCATGAGTGAACTCCATCGACTGCAGAAAGAGAATTGATGCCAATTAAGTTGTACAACTATAATTCGGGCACCGAAATGCGATGGATCCAGCTGAAAGGACTCAGATCGTAAGAATGACAATAAACAACGACAGCAAGATATTTGGGTTGAGTGAAAATATAATTAAAAGTAATTGGAAGCAAGAAGGAAGTGCGTTAATTTAATCAGAATGGAACGGTAAATAACAACCAGATGCAAGAAGGCGGATGCAGGAATGTCATGGACTACGCCATGTCTGATACGGTCCCCAACAAGTTGTGCGGAACATCCAGAGGCTCCCATTCACGAAGACAGCACACACCGGCTTGGTCAAGTTTCGAAGTCAAATTCTTCATACAACTATACCACGTCATGAACCGGCCACCTCGCGGTTTCACTCAACCTGGTGCAGCCACGGCGTATAATGCACGTCGAGGAAGCCGAGCAACGGTCTAGCCAACGTAAACGATTGAAATTCAACAAACACTCGAGTGAGGAACCAGAAGGCTTCTTGCCAAAAATCAACCGGCGGATCTTAGTATTGATCACTCGGTTTTCCCACCAGACGTGAACAATACTCCGCAAGCACAAAGGGCAAACACGGCCAAGCGCTTAATTTCTTCGCCGCAAACTGTCCAGATCTGATCCACACAGTAAGACCGAGCTTACCGCAGCGTTACACACCCTACCTTTCGCTGACAGGCAGATATCCCGCCGTCTCCATAGATGGTTGAGTCCGGAGAGACACACCGTCCTTGCTCATACGCGAAGTAACTTCTTCAGTGATGTGATCACCAGTGACGACACAAATACCAAGGTAAGTGAACCGATGCACGACTTCCAACGGCTGTTCGATGGTAGCTAGAACTGGAGGTGCGTCGGTCAAGTTATGCAGAAGTACCTTGCATTTTGAAGGTGCAGAACATATGACCAAATGTGCAGCGCTATGCGTTAGTCTATCCAGTAGTGTCGAATCCAAGATGAGATATGTAGTCCGCATACTCCAGACTTGTCAGTCGGTCACCTAGCAGAAGTTCCACTCAGATAGAATGTGAGAGAACGGAGTGACTCATGATCATTTTGAGCACAATAAGGAAAAGGAAAGGAGATGAAGGACAACCTTGGAGAACCCCGCTTGTCGTGGGGAACTACGGAGACGGTTTAACGCAGAACCTTATACAGTCTCAGAAGTCACGGTAGAGACTGCATAATCCAAAGGAATTTAGACTGCACGCCCTTCATGGATAGGCAGTGCCACAAGCTGGCGCTGTTAACAGAGTGAAAGACCGCTTTCAAATCAAAGAAAACGGCATGGTCGGTCATCGGTATACATGTCCCTGCTCTAACAC